CCATCCTTGTCGGATTTCCGTGCTCATTTTGCGGGAGATAAACAAAATAGGTACAAAATGGTAAAGAAAACAGGTATAGCTAAAAGGATCAATCGCTTCGGCAGGTATCATTAATCTCATTTCGTTCCTCGAAAGATTCGTAGAAGAGTTCGTGGAAACACGGAATGCTCCATTTTCCAGCGGAGTCATCAATTTCTCGGTTTCGCGCGAGTCTCGCGATTCTAGTGGCGAACGAAACACGCGAGCGGACGGGGAGCGGTTTGAGGTGGCGGAACAGGACAGGCTGGAAACGTTCGGCGGATGTTTACGTGATTACTACCGGCGGTACTACGCGAGCGGCGGAAACGCTTCCTTCCGGTCACGTAAACGTCGTGAAATAAGATCGTAGCAGCGGCGCGAAGGGTCCCTCGAGAAATCCCGTGGTATACCGGCACGTTTCGACGACGCGCGTTTCTACAAAGTCCCTGATAACGCGTGACGTTGAGAGACATCGTCGAATTTCGCTGTTTTCCTACCCCGGTTTTTACCGGGATCTTTTGATCGTAATCCACTTTAGTTGCTGTGAACGTTGCGATGTTATTCGCTTGCCAACATTGCGGCTAATCCCGTGGGAAAATCATCGATTAGTACAAAGGAGCGCTTTCGCGTGCAAGAAAACGTACAGCGAATTTATTCTAGTATCGGATGCTTTACATAAGAAAAAAATGAACGTATTGATCGCAAGAAAAACGCAGTAGAAGATACAAAGTGCGATCATACGATATATATCTACAAAATCAATTGTAACGCTGCACGTTAAAAAGAGATTATAGAAAACGATATATTATACGTTTGCAAGAAAAAAGAGTAAAGAGATATTTATTGCTAAGAGCGAAATATCGCAAAGTCATTGGGATAAATTCGCAATGTTGGCAATCGAACTTAATGCACCTCTAAGAAGCGCTGTATAATAACGATCGCAATGTAATCTGCGAGTATTGACGAATGCTACGATAGTTACACAAAAGGAAACAACGATCGCTCGACTAAGGAGCATTAAATAGAACGATCGATAAAATCACGTAATGTCCATGATCACAATCTATCGATCGTTATCGTAAATCGTTCGTTCTAAACATCTCCGGAGACAATGTATAAAAGGCTTGATTCAAACTACGGGTTCAGTGATGCTTCGCAATATTTCAGTATTAGCAAATCAATTCATGTCTAATCACAATTATGGGAATCCAATTTAGGAAACATGATGATTTAAACATATGATTTAGATAGAAACAGATACGTATTTTATGTAGACAATTAAACTATTTTATGTATAATGGATAATGTATAATGAGATTAATATTATAAGACTACGTAGTGTATTTCTTAATTTCTTAAGAGATTATGATTGTATTAAACTTATTTTTGTCAAAATTAGAGATAGACATAAAGATAAAATATTCTAAAATTACGTAAAAAAATAAATTTTTATATATTGGATTTTTATATGTTGGATTAACATTTATAAAATAAGTAATGAAAATGTTGCTTAATTTAAAAATATTATAAGGTTAATTATAATTGGGCATATAATATAGTAATATATAAAAGATGCATGTACGATATTATGTAGAATTATATATAAGTTAGCGTAAAATTATTTTCTTATGAATATGTCAAACAAAAGTAGCCTTGCTTTCATCAACATTTGACAAATTGAAACATTTCACCATTTCAATTTAACTAAATCCGTCTCTGATAGTATGAATCAAGCCCCATTAATTTCGATCCGTATATTGACAACATGACAACCAATATTTACTGCTAAATATATCTGTCTGTGTCTAAAATGTAACATATAGCCGTATTCGGCGCTGGATGTGAAAGTTCAATGCGCGGCCTGGAAAATACGCTTACATGAAATTGCGGCAAAACAACCGCCGGGTTTCTTTGACCCGTATTTGAACATTCTTTGTACGCCATATGTTGTAATATTTTATGAAAATTTTGGTTACTTGTGAAAAGCCGAGGCTCGACGCGAGATAAGAAATACGAAAAATGTATTAAAGAATTCGTAAAAAATCATCGTAAAAAAGAAGATTATACTGTATAATAGGATACAGCTTTGTAAAGATAATTACACGCGGTTCATATCGCGGCTTTCCACAATGTAATTAAAATCGTGAAATATGCAACGCTCTTATGACATATCGAAATCGCGATCTCTGTCCAAGTGAAACCATATCCGCGAGTAACGCGAATATCAATCGCGCGCAATCTCCGTACACATATCCCTCCCTTTTCGACACGTGAATTTTTGTCTTTTGGAAGGTTTTTTATCCTCCCCGTTTAATCTTATTATCGTTAACATATCGAGATTACACACCAGTAACGTGCCCCGCGAATGAGAACCGAGAGACTCAACGAAGATAAGCAATTGTTGAACATCTTTATCCTATCGCAATTTTTGCTCATATTTACAATTGGAGACAATGACGAAGCAGAATATGACGGAAGACTATATGCGCTTCTCGAGACTCGATGCATACTTGTTGCGAATTACATATCTAGATATTTTTGATATTCTCGGAGAAGGCACTTCTCCCTTTTATTTACGTCTCTTTTCCATATTGGAATCCGTTTAGTTTTTCAAGTAGGTAAATTATAAAGAAGCGCTAAGATTACAATCGTGTGACAAATGTTTATGCTGGAGCTTAATTCGGTAAACAAAATTGCCGAGCTTCGACCGAGTCGGAGGGAGGCGCGGACGAGAAGAAAGAAGATTCGTTGGCTTCCGTTGCAATACGACTAACGCTACTGCCAATATAGAGATAGAAACCCCATAGAAAGATCGATGTTTTTCTCGGAAGGTGTGTACATTTTTTGATGATCGAAATAATCGTGCATCATCGAGTGCTGTATCGAACTTGCTGCCTTCGAAAGTGCGAGAGATTCTGCCTCCTATCCTCACTGTTCACTTTGGCGCTGAACACGACAATTTACTGGTATGTAGAAACGTAAATTGTTCGCGATTCATGAGCTTTTTACCAGCTCGATATGAAAATTTGTGACGAAATTCAAACGATCGCACGCAGCGCTAAAATAGTAGCCGTGAAGATACGAGGCTCTGGTTTGTCCTGCAATACATTGAAGAGGCTTATCGAAGCTTCTCCTTGGACGGACATTAAATATCCCATTCAGCATCGTCGCCCACATCTTTTCTTTTCGGCGCGAGAGATATACGCGGCAGAACGCCCCTTTTATTAATTAGTTGTTCTTTTTTACTTTGATATCGTCTTTACCGAGATCACCTGGCGTTCGCTGACCTAAAATAATCGAGCTACACTGTGTAACAAAGTGCGCGTTGTAAAGTGACTGTATATACAAATATAAATTATGCGATTATCTTCCTCGTCTCGTTTCTTCCCTCTTCTAAAATCTGCACTCATTTAGAATTATTGAGCATAACTAAGAAAAAAATATCTGTGAATTACATCAAGGCTTTATCTAATCTTATTTAAGCATCTTACATTTAAATAAAGACGTACGGGATGTGAAGCTATCGCACATCTTTAAAATAAAATATATTGGGATATTAATTGTTTATTTCGCGCCGGATATTTACATAATTAACTACCTTAACAATATATTTTATAAAAATTATATTAATCGCACTAATCGTTTCATTGTCGCATCAATGTACCTCATTTGCGCCACTCGCGAAAATATTTACACCGAGCCGCACTCATTCATTCTCAATACAACATACAAAACCGACGAGTCAGATACAAATACAAATTATGTATCACATTACTGTAAAATATAGACGAATGAATGCAAATCAATATAGATCTCTCGAATATAACAATCGCGAATGTCATTTCGACGATAGAGATAACATTAATAAAGACAGATAATTTGCATTAACTAGCCAGAGTATCGTTCCGGATTTCTTCAAGTCGTTGATTATATTCCTTACGAATTTCTTCGATGGGCTTGATTAAAAATATAGGTACATCGTCATCTCTTCTCTGTAGAAAAAAATTAAAATGTTACACAGAATAATAATAACATAAAATATAGTAAATTAATTATCAATTTTGTGAAATTCAATCACAATAATAATTATTTATAATAAATTAATTAAAGAGAACACATTTAAATATTAAAATTACCTGAAAGAGACATTCGCCTTCGAATTCTAAATACTTCTGTTTTCTCGCTCTCAACAGCAGTCCTACGCATTTGTTGCTAATGTTAGTATAAATGTTAAAGATGTCACCGAAGGTGATACCGATTACGTCAGGTTGATCCTGGCAAGGTGTGCCTTCTTGGCTAATAATTTCGCAAAGTTCTAAAATTTCCTTTAAGACATGGGCGTTCGCTTTGCGACCACGTAGATCGGACAAAGAACCTGCTTCTGGTCTGAGAAAAGTTAATACGAGTTAATAAAAACACATTAATTAAACAATTATAAATTAATACAAAATGATTAACTATATTAATATAAAATTCACACAATGGTACACTTCTAATAAGTTTCATAAATTTCATATACCTTCCATATTCTTCTTTGGAAAATTTCGGCTTTTCGATATTCAGACCAGAAGTAAATGGGTTTTTGCTCTGCTTGTCTTTATGTTTATCGGCGTACTGGTTGAACATAGCAACCTTGGCTCCCAAGGATTCCTTCGAAAGAGAAGAGATGTATATTAATCGTTAGTCATTATTCACAGTCGGTTAAGACATAATAGGTCCAGAATATCCATCTCATAAAATATAAATTGCTCGAACAGAGAATGAACAGAGAGTTTCATAATCAAAAAATTACACGAAAAAAGAACATGAAGAGACGAAATATGTATTTTGAAAAATTTTAGATTTAAGACACTTTGCCAAAAGCTCAGTTGAAATATTCGACACCTAAATGAGATAGGAATTTCTGGGAATCTGCCAAACTGAGCCTAAGGATTGACCCTGACCATAAAAGATGCCTCGATGGCATCTTGACAAATTTTCACAGTCGTATATGTAGATACGTTCACTTTCGGGAATTTGTATATTTATTAATTTTAGAAAATTAAATTTTAATACAATTCCTTTTTTTATTTTACAAGAAAACTGTAAACGTAAATTGTCATTTTTAAAACAAAAGTTTTGTATTAATAAAGATATAAATAATATAAATAATATAAAGTCCGACTGACATAAATAAAAATATGTCTAGATATTAATATTTTTTACAAATAATACATTTTATTAAATTATACGGTTTTTAAAATAACGAAGAAGTAGTTTAGTGAAAACTTATTAATGTTACATCATCCAGCATCTTTAATATAGTCTTATCTTATAATCTTTTATTTTCAATAAAAATTATATTTTTATGATTAATTTTACGTGAAAGCTTTTATCTGAATAAATTGGATTTCAAATTTCTTTGAGAGAGAGAGAGAGAGAGAGAGAGAGAGAGAGAGAGAAGATGTACTTAAA